GACGTGCCGTCGTGGACGTCCAAGAAGATGGTACGAGGTCATCACTGTAGCGATGGAGCTCATGTGCGATGGGTAGTGGTATGCAGCGGCGATGACGCAGACATGGAACAAGTTTTGCATCCAAGGCGGGTTCGTCGAGATCTCGGCGCGCATGCCTGGCCCGACTAACAAGGAGTCGATGAACCCGCACGTGACTGGGAAGCGCTGGGACCACCAGCTGCAGAAGGATGTGCCCGTCAAGTACCTCGACCGCATTCCCGACATCAAGTTTTACCCGACGTGGCCGGGTCTCTGGATGATGGGCAACCTCGGTCGCGCGCTCTTTGCGGCGTCGACCAACCGCGTTTGGCCGTGGACGTACAACGAGTGCGACGAGCGGTACAAGTCGTCGCAGCGAATCTCGGCGTGTGACCCGAACCCTGGCTACGGCATGAACCCGTACCAAGGTCGCGGCTCGCCCGAAATTGATATTCTTGAAGGCGGCGGCAGTGACATCTCGTCGTCGATCCAGATTGCGCCGGGCATGCCGGACGAGTACCGCCTCTTCCCGGCGCAGCTCAAGTACGAAGCGACCAACAACACGGACCCCCAAGGTATTGTGCGATACAATATGTCTTGTCTGCAGCTCAGTGGCGTACGTCTTAGGTCGGAAGGGCCAGGGGCACGTATTTTGCTACTATGAAAAGACGTGCTTGACGCCCGGGGCCAACATGGCGGACGTTCCGACGTCGGCATTCGCAGCTCGTGGCCACAAGTCGTGGTACCAAGGCCTCAAGTACGCGGCCAACCACCGCTGCACGCCAGTCGATACGATGAAGCAGCAGTATGACTCGGTCGCCAAGGCGCAAAACGGCCCGATCGTCGACAACCAGTTTGATATCAAGGCCATTAGCTCGGGCCGTGACCTTCACGCGGACCTGAGCTTGATTGACGGCAAGGGCCCTGCACATTGGGGCATCAACTACAACGGAACGTGCTTCCCGATCGCCAACGGCTACAAGGGCGGGTTTCTTTGCGACCGCGATAGCCAAAACCCCAAGTGCGACGAGCCGCGGAAGGACTGGCAGCTACCGACCAAGATGATGGAGCCGTTCGAGTACCAAATGGACGCGATCTCGTCCAACTGGCAGATCAGCTACGAAGCGTACACGACGTTCTACAAGTACCAGCTCGAATGGTATTTACGAGCATCTCGCAAGCCACCAGAGTGCTAAATCGGTCTGTAGGGTCATTGGCGATGAAGGCTACGTGCGCTGGAACCTCGCCGGGGCGCCGATCTTTGAGATCCCGGCCGCGTCGTTGACCAACCCGCCGCAGGGCCCGGCTGGCAGCGCGCGCAACCCGAAGAAGATCATGGTCGAAGAGCCGAGCTACTTTATCTTCAACGTGGCCATGTCGTCTGCGTGGGGTACGCGGCATGCAGACGTTTCTTGGTTATACTGACTACATCATCGACTAGGTGCTATGCCCCCTAACGTCAAGATCGGCGGTTGCCGCGGCAACGCGACGCACCCTGAGCCGGGTACCTACGAGCACAAGGCGACCAACAACATTTGCGACTCGTTCCCGATGTACATGGCGGTCGACTACATCCGCGTCTGGTGCGTTGATCCAGTATTCCATTCTGTATCTTACAGCCTATATTTCTGTAGGCAAGACACCAAGACGATGAGCGTCGGTTGCGACCCGGCCTCGCATCCGACCAAGGAGTTTATCAAGGCGCACATCTCCAACTACACCGACCCGAAGAACCCAGACATCATTGTGGCCGGCGGCGCGACCTGCAACGTCGATGACGACTGTACGACAGCCGCCAGTATCACGGGCTCGTGTGTCAACCGCCGCTGCAAGTGCGTCGGCGTCTGGACGGGCCCCCGCTGCACCAAGTACGACCTCGAGACCGTCACGTACGGTCCGCCGTTGTACGCGATGGCGGGTTTTTGCGGCTTTGCGATCGTCGGGTCGGCACTTGGCCTTGCGCTCCGCCGGCGCCGCAACAAGGGTGTCATTATGCGCCAGCAGGAAGAGATGCGCCGGGAGAAGCACAGCGAAGGTAGCTCCAACGTCTTTATCGTGGATGCTGCGCATAGCGACGTTCAGATTACGCGGTAACGCTAACCGATAATGCATGAAATTCCGATGTTTTGCATCTCTGACTACGCCCGCAGTGCTGTTCCCTTTTTGTTGTTGAACCTTCGCACATCGCTAAGCTCAAAAACGTCCTACACTAGCATTGTGTCGTAATCACTGGCGTCGTCAGCAATTTTACATACAATTGTACAATAATATGGAATCGGCCATATTAGCCTGACTAGACTGCATCCCGTCCGCTCTGCAATAATATGACTGTGGCGCCCCGGGTGCTGTGGAAATAGTTACCTCTATAATTACATAATATTCGGAGGACATTTTTCAAGAACCTGTGAAATTCAATTATTCGTCGTGTCGGGAGCCCGAGAAAAAGCCTGATCGGGCAACTAATTCATTGCTCAATTTCATTCATAGTCGTTGCGAGTCGTTGTGACGATTGCAATTCCACTCTAGTTGAAATGACCACTAATCTAAAGCCAGCGAAAGCTTGCGTGAGAAATGGGAGTGGACTGACTTGGAGATGCCCGCCATGTCACCATGGAGCACTCAGAAGGCGAGAATGCGGGGATCTCATCTATGACGTTTGTAACGATCTCGTATACACCCCAGCAGGTAGCCTTCGACAGAACGCTGCCGGCGAGATAGTACAACTGACGTGACTGCCAAGCAAACGCAGACGTCAGAAAAGCCAAATCTTTTGAATTCTGACGTCTTCAGATTCAAACCGTGCGACGTGGAAGCACGTTCCAATTGCAGCTCGACTTGGGACGCCCCATTGCGGCGGTCGAGTTTGTTGCGCTTGTTACCTCCATCAACCACTCAGTGGCCATTCGAGGTACCCAAGCATGTAGCCTCGGGCTCTATTGCTCAGTCGACAGTAGTGTCTACTACGTTTGCTCCACAAGCTCAAGCGTGATCGAAAATATTCTAAATGACGGAGTGATCACGACAGGTTTGGGTGCGCAACACTGATCTCGGTCGAAGTCGCCTATGGATGCCAGTACGCAAACGACTTCTTTTTGATGAAGACGTCTAGTCCGTGGGTTCTGGTCATTTGGGTTCTGGCGCGGCTTCTGGTGGCACACAATCCCAGGCCACACGCAGTTCTTGTGACTCTGCCAGTTACACAATTCATGGTGCTTCGAACTTCGATTCCGGATAACATGAAGAAAGCTCGCACTATGAGCGCCGCCGCGTTTTACTGATGGCATACCCACACACATACCGTGGTTCGATGCAACATGTACCCATCTCTCGATACTACACCAATATTGCCCACTCTGACGCAAAATGAGAAAGAAAATCGCTGGCCTTGCGGGCTCGACCTTCAGTGTCGTGGCAATGCCGTGGTATCCGGCGTAGTGCTTCGATTCGAATTTATTGTCGGGCCTTTTGTCTGGACAGTCCTGCGATGAATGTATAATGAATGGCACATCCAGCGTCTTGGCTATTGCTTGCCACCGTGCGTCCAGCCTACAAATCTGCTCGAGGGCGGGCGATCGAGCGCGGCATGGAGAGCTGATATTTGCTGCATTTGCGACATATTTGCGTCGATCTTGTCCGTTGAAAAGTGTCGGTTTCGGATACAAGTGCAAACGCGCGCATTTTATGTGTAGAGCTTCTACCAAAAAAAGCACTACTGAATGAAGAAGATATCGACAGGCTGCATATTGCATGTTGTACCGCAAGCCGCTCGTGCGTTTCTGCTTCAGAGATGCTCCTTGGTGCTTGGGATTTTTCTTTCAAAAGATTCGCACTCCAATTGGACCCATGGTGGAGCGATATGAAACAGATGGAGCATCCCACTTTTGCATTGGTCCCTGCCGTGTATCGATATCCATCATTTGTGCTGCTGGATCTGGCACGATCGACTAAGATCTGAGCTCAGTACGCAATTTACCATGCCCCCACGCGCACTGTCGCTCCTGGCAGCCCTTCCAGCATTCGTCCTCGGCGTCGACCAGAACGACCCGACGCTGCCAACCAAGTCGGGCGTCGGGATCTGGATCGACGTCGACACGCC